GGGGGGGGGGGGATGCCTGACACTCATGAAAGAAGTGTCGACAACCAATCAAGCTGGTCAGCCCTGCTGCGGTTGCCTCGCTCCGGCCACTTGCCTACTAGTTGGGCTCTGGCGAATCACCGTCATCATGCAGGCCGACATTGGTGCAGGTGCATCACATCAACTTGCTTAGTGTGGGAAAGAATCAGCGGAGCCCTAGCTGCAGTTCGAAAATGCCTTGTCACATAGCCACAGTGATGTGTCTTGCAGCCAGGCCACCCTGCTCAGAGTGCCGATAGGACTACCCAGGCAGGTGAGACTGATATAGCCTCTGGAGCATCGGTCGATGAAGAGCGCAAGTCTTGGAAGGCCTATTTCAAAGTGACGCAAGCAGACATCATTGAAATGCTCTCTTTTGGAGGAAACTTATAATAGTATTATTGGCATACAACATCGATAGATTCAAAGAAAACGGAATTGAGGAACAAAGGCGTCCAAATCGAATTACAGTCTGCCGGCTCATAATTGTTACAACATCAGAAACGTATATATACTGAGGGTGGAGTGAGTGACACCCAACAGATTGACAACGTGTGAGGCTTGCAATTTCAGCCTTCCGTTGATAACAGGGAGGAACAAGCGCTAGATGATTCAATCATCAACAATCTCATCCGAGGACGAGGACGACCCGGACATGATGGACGAGGCATCATCATACGACGGGATACCACCCGAGTCAGAGGTAAAGTCCGTGTCCGCAGCATTAGTCCACAGAGCAACCCACCGACCAAGATCCTTCCGCCCCTCGCCCAGGTCTTCCTCTCGCGTCAGATTCGGCCCAAAGTCGGGCTCGAAGCCGAGCTCCGCGCGTTCTCTCGGCTCAACCATGATCACACGCGGGAAAGGCGGCGGCGGCGGCAGAGGCATGCATCCCCTTGGGACTGCGCCAGGAGGGAAGCGTCCCGGCGGACGCATCCCCGGCGGCGGGGCGGGTCCCCTCCAGACCGGAGGTGGAGGGGGCGGCGTATAAGGCTCGGCCCAGGTAAGCGGGTCCGGTGCGCCAGGGGGCACGTACACGCCTCCGTTCATGCCGTCATTGAAGGCCGAGATGCGCATGTGAAGAATTGCGCCGGGCTTGATGGTTGTAATCCATGCTTCTGGCGTGATGACGGTGTCGTTCTCATCGACGATCTCATACGCTCCGTCCCTCACAAGGTTCCAGAGTCTGTTGACATCTTTGAAACGTTGATGGATTGACACGCGCGCACCCTATGTGGATTCAGACCGTTAGTGATAGGTATAATGGCATTAGCACAAGGCAATCTCACCTGCACAGTCCGGCACTGCTCGAACGGAATATCGTACTTTCGGCCAAGGATGTCGGTCATGTGAACGGGCTCTGCCGCCGGATCGACCGACATGAACACCACTGCGACATCAGGACGGGTTGCGATATCCACGGTGATAAGTTGCCTGACGCGGCCATCCTTCCTCTGAGCGCGGAAGAGAGCGCCCTGGACAGCAGAGCGAAGTTGGTCATCCTGGACGAGGAACGCATCACCCGGGGCTTTGGAGCTCTGCTTTAGGATGCGCTTCAACTCGAGACGGAGCATCTTGGGCTCCAATGCCAAAAAGGACTCTGGGAATGGTCCGTTCCTCAAAACAGTCGCTTCGAGTTCTAGGTCGCCAATGCTTGGGATAGTGCTGCGGCCGAACATACCCTTGAACCATTTGCCCATGGTCTTGAAGACCTTGGCTGGGAATCGACGCTTTGGGGCCAGCAGCTTGATTTCAACGGGGCCTGCATCAGGAGCCCCGTCCCATGGCTGATGCCAGAAGCTTGTCGGCGCAACAGGCGGCGGAGGGGGAGGCGTGGCAAGCTCGACAACAGGAGAGATATTTGCCTTCTCGTATGTCTTGTCGCCGCACACTGATGGCGGCTTGGACTCGTTGGCAGTCTCGCCAGACTTCCAGGATGCCGCATCATCGTCAGATTCGCTGCTGCTGGCAGTTAATGCTGCTTCAGATTCCCAAATGCTCTCAGTGTCAGATTTGTCTGCGAGCGCCAAACGTTCCTTTCTCTCGATCTGTTCGACAATCTCCTTGGCGGCCTTGGCCTTGCACGTCAGCAAACGCATTGCCAGGCTCCTTGAGGCCAGCTCCTCGTCAAAGCTTCCAGGACATCTAGGCCTGATCAAAATTGTTAGCAAATTGTTAATTATCCTTGCAAGAGAAGCACCGACTTGATCTGGAGGCTGGCAATACCAGCCACTTGTAGGTGAAGCAGCAGGCTAGCTTTGAGCCAGCGCAGTTGCGTCTCACTCGTCTCAATTACTTCCTCAACCATATCCCAGTCCATGTTGTCGCTGATGGCGCGGAGTCTGGATGCCTTCAGGTCCTCTGGACCGAGTGCCTCAAAGTCCACATCTTTGACAACCTTGACAGCGAGACTTGCCCTGTAAACACTGCGGATAATGGTGGTGTACACTTTGCCGCATCTTATCGCAAGATCTTCGATGGCCTCACGGCCAGCGGGTTGGTAGACGGGCGATACCTCATGTGCATCAGCGGCTACAAATTCACGCAGCTGGCTCAGTGCTGCTGCTGTAGCAAAGACATCGTCGCTTAGATTGTGAATATCGCTATCTGAACCAGAGGTCCCAAGCTGATAGATTGCTAGCTTCGTAGCGAGCTGGACACCCAAGTTGGCGATGCCGGCCAAGTCAGTAACAGGAGCGGCCATCTTGTGCAGCGAGCCAGCTGTTGGGATGGATGCGAAGGCAAAGGGAAGATTGAGAAAGGACGGAGCCAAAGGCATATTGGCTCTTTTCTTGCACTTGAAGCATGATGAAGAGCGGGGTATTTATCTCCTGTCAGCACTGCATTCTAGTAGCAAGCCTCATTTTCGCAACTTTTTGTCTCATTGGGCTGAGCAAGCTGCAAGCATCTAGACTCTCGTTGGCTGGGTAGAATGGTGTCCAATGAGCCGCATCAAGCGACGGTGCTACAGTCTTCTTCTTTCTCTTGGAGGCTTGAGGTGCAAGGTGTTTGAGAGCCAATGGCTAGATGGCAGTCGCTGTCGTGGGGCCATTTTGGCTTTATCGCATCGCCATGTAGCCACGGCACATTACGATGATGCAATTGGACCAGCAGATGCAGCTGTAGCCCCAAGCACGGCATCAGGCTCCCTGAGATACAGTGAGGTTGTACTTGTCATGGCACAGGCTCGTCCTTCGGTCCTGTCTCGGGTTGCGAATGGATCTGGCTGCCTCACCCGTTCGTATTAGTGAGGCCATCGTCGCGAGCACATCTGTGCGGGGGATGCATTGTCGAGAGAGAGCCTGCCTGAGGCGTCTGCAGGCTATACGTAGTAGGCATAAGCTGCAGGCTGCGGTCGCTTCTCGTACCTCTTTTGGGTGACAAGAAACAATATGGAAGTACACTGCAGGCGAGGAAGGAGGAGGTCCTGCCCAATAGATCTATGCATCACGTGATCTAGAACGGTCAACCGACCCTTCAGCGCGGGGCAGGTGCGCTTTTCCCTCGCCCAGAGGAAGGAGGAGCCGGGGGGAGCCACACAACGTCCCGTCCGCCTCCAACTTCCTGAAATTGACCAGGTATGCCGTTAGGCAGGCACAGCAGGCAAGGCAGGCAGATGGGCGCAATAAGGCGCCTGTCATGGTTCGCTTTCGGCTACGTCGACGTGCCTCGCGAGACTCTGTGCTACCCTCCTCATTGAGATCTCGAAGCCCCGCGGGCGCTCGCGTCTGGAACCCGCCCGCAAGATCGCAATTCTCGTCCGCCTCGTGCATCCACATTCTCCGCCGTAGCTAGCCGGTGCATCATGTGAGGCCGCCACAGTAGTCCGGATACCGAAAAAATCGGAGACCCTGGCAAGTTTGGCATCCACCTCGATCTCGTCGAGCGCACATTGGGGCACTGATTCAACGACATGCCAATGTAGGGTAAGTGTTTCCATCTCCTTCGCCCAGATCATTGGCCTCTAGCTGTTCTTGGGGTACTCTGGATCTGCTATGTTGACCTACTCATCATCTCCCTCCCCCCTTTGGAGCAGTTGGATATCTGCATTCCACGTATCATTACCACGATGTGATTCTTACCTTCGATCAGTAGTTGTAATGGCATACAGCTTAGATCCAAATGAAAAACTCATTCTGAGATGCCTGATGTGCTTGACAGAATTCCGGAGGAGTCACCAATAAATGCTCAGGCTTTTGCGCGATGCCCTCTCTCAAGTAGAAAATAATCGTAGCCCATGTCTCGAACAGGATTGGCCACAACTCAAATACCAACTTACACATATCCCCGGCATTGAAGCAAATAGATCCAAAGTGAACTATGAGAGAGCTAGTCTCGTAGCGTAAACGTCTACTGGCCCCAAGGTCTCCCGTCACACCACAACAATCCCAATTCCGAACAACTTGTCGCCGAGAGCAACCGCGCGCTTCCGATCCATGCACCAACCCATCAACACCAAATCCACGCAGCCCATAAAGTGGAAATCCATCTGCAAATTCATCGATCTCGAGTCCTGAAACACAAGCACATCCAGTTGCAATATCCATTCTTACCTGGGAAAATCATGAGCCAACACCAATGTACGGCCTCAGCTGAGTCAGATCCCCCATGAAGAACCAAGCACGACGGCCCTATCTCTAGGTCAGATCTCCAACCACAACCCATCATTCACCAGCATCCCCCCCTCTCACCCCCACTCCCTCCTTCCGCTGAGCATCTCCCGTGTATTACACACGAATACCTCACATAGAACCGACAACCCGGGATTCAAAATGATCGTCTGGAGACACATTCGGAACCTAACTTGAACAAGACCCTCAAGTAGCTCTTCAGCCATACGCAAGCAATCGCTCGAGCAGCGACCAGCTTGTCCAGCAGCCAGCCTGCTCAACAACCAGCCCAGTAGCCAGCCCTCTTCTTTCGTATTGGCTGGGAAAAGAGTCCTTGCATATGAAAGTTAGACACCAACCCCCCGGCTGCCTCCTACCGTCGCTCGTATCAGCATGTATCAGGCCGGGACGTTCTGCGTACCGGGCCATCAGAGGCCTAGACCTGGGAAACTCCCAATTGCAAGTCGAAGTCCAGCATCTCCAGTCACGGACTCGCAAAAAGTTCAATCAAGGACAAAAACATGACCCATGACAATTACTATTGACAGGTTTCCCCTCATCTTCTAATTCCCGAAGGATAGAGATACTCTACCTATCTACCCTTGCTTCCCCCGAAAGCCAGTCATATCTGTCTCCCACCAACGCACACATCCATCTACATCCATCCTTTGTACAAGTAGAAATATGAAGCCGGCCGTTTGAGGAAGTGGATGGGACCATCTCCAATCTGAGACGGAAAAAGGTCTAATCGCTGTAAAAAATGACCGAATATAAAAAAAAAGAGAGTAAGATAGGTAGAGAAAAGAGCAGGTCTTGTCAGCATTGGACATTGAAAAAGAGATAAAAGGTGGCATGTTTTTTCCTGGAGATGCGACACTGGTCAAAAACAGTGGTTCCATTCCCATCCATGCGAGAAGGTCGAAACAGTCAGTTTGAAGAGACAACGCCTCGCTCCAACGGCGCTACTGCGCCATGTCCCTATCTAGCCCGTGGACCGCATGCGTATTGATAGAATGGGTGGATGAAGGTCGCCCCGGTCCCTGCGGAAGTCGCCTGAAGCTCGTTGATCTTCGTAGCCTCTCGGGCATATAAGTGGTATTCGTAGCAGCGCCTGTTCCCAAGGATGGGTAACCCTCCAAATCCGATCGAAGTCTCTCATCTACAATTGCTCTTGCTGCCAATGTTCTGCTTCATACATCGCCGCTCTTGCCGGCGAGATCATGAAACCCAGTTTGAAGCAAGTCTTGTTCGTACATCGTACACCATAGTTCTGCGTGAGCGCATTCAGCCGTAGAACAGCTCAAACTGGGTCGCGAAGCCGGGTTCTGTCGGCTTGACCTCCTTGATGGGGTGGAGGATCATGGGTGGCAGACACGGACGACCGTGCGCTCTCTCCCAGTTCTTGCCTCCAATTTTAGTGTCGACATATCCGATCCAGTTGTTGTACAGTCTTGGTGGGGGCTCGGCGCGGTAGTACCAAGTCATGCCCTGGTATCTACGCTCTCTTCCCCAGCCCATAGGGCTGCCCTCGCCACCGCTCTCGCCGCGAGGTCCAGGGTTGAACCACTTCTCGAGGAAAGTGCCGTTCCAGGGGCGGTCAAACCAGGTAGGGTGAGGCGCAAACACCGTCTTGAAGCCGTGAAGGAGGGCAACAGTTTGGGGGGTCATCTCCGAGGCAATGTGGTTGCCACGAAGGTTCTCGACGTGCATAATGTCCAAAAGGCGCTTAGAGACACGAGATTGGGTAACAATGGTGGTCCGGCGGGGTAGGGTCTTCGCAGGATCGGGGAACTTCTCGTCTCTGTAACCCCAAATGTGGTCCGAGATGATCCAGCTGCTGTTAATCGGGTTAAAGATGGGACCGACAGTGATCATGTCCGCATCCTCGCCAACTCCCCACTTGTACGGTTCTTTCTCAGGATTTTCAACGGGAGGCTTGGGACCGACAGGGTTGATAAATGGCAGCTTAGGCGGGCCCCAGATCTGGTTGCCGCGGGTGCGCTGTTCAACGTCCTTGCGAAAGTCGGTTTCGTAGTCTCCGTGGAATTCGGGGATGTAGTAACGCTCGTTGCGCTCCCACAAGCCTCTGCGGGGTTGCCTCTGAGCGAATTCGGAGAGGCGCTTTAAAAAGTCGTAGTTATGGCCGATGATTCTGGCATCCATTTCCCAATTCCAGATGAAGTCGAATTCGGGGTGGTCCTGACTGAACTTCTGCACCGATAACCACTGGGCCGAATGCACGCTCTTTTCGTTTTCGTCGGTAAGTGCCGTGTACACGTTCCACATGGCCTGGTCATTCCATAGCTTAGTGATGCCGTGGAACTCGAGAGGCACATGCTCGTTGAGCACGTACTGGTACGTGGCTTCGTCATTCCAGATGTCGAGAGCCTGGTCGCGAACATGCAGCAGCAAGAAAACCTGGTACTCGCCACCTGATCGGAGCGAAAGCTCGGAAATGAGGGAGCGGATGACCTGCTTGTCGTTCTCGGTGTACTTCTTGCCGGTGTAGGTTCGAAGAAGGACGGCAGTCCGGGCGTCGGGAGTCGTCACCTTGCCACCCTTGGAGGCGCCTGTGAACTTTTTGTGAAGGCGCCGCTTCTCGTTTGCTTCCTCTTCCTCCTCGACCTTCTTGCCATATCTCTCTGCGATATCGGGGTAGGCAGTCTTGATGTACTCGTTGGGCTTGCCCTCGTCGAAGCGGGCAGCGTTTCTCTCGATGCACTTCTCCTGAAGATCACCCCAGTTGATGTTATCCCAGTCAATGCGAAGACCGGCCTTGCTGAGTTGAGGAAGAAGGCCGTAGGGCCCGAGTCTGGTCTCACGCTCGTAGCAAATGTTGCCGTCCATGTTCAGGATGTCGAAGCCACCGAAGCCCGGGTTAGGGAATTTTGCGGGATGGCCCTTGAAGACCAAGAGGTCGTCGACAGACTCGCCAGTCGCACCAATACAGGGCACATGGGGCGCGCGATGCGTCTTGTTCCACCCTTCGCTGTTGTAGTCGGGGTAGGGGTTGAAGTAGACGGGTCGCTGGTTTGTATAGGCCTCCTCCTGCGTGCCAGACTCACGGAGGTTGGCGGCGTGCTCGGCGGTCCTGTTCTCCTTGTCCTTTAGCGAGTTCAGCGTGTTCCCGTAGATCGCATCGTTACCGGGAAGCCTGTAAAGTTTAAAA